GCTGAACCTGATGCTTGAAAATATCATCACTTGCAAATATGGGAAACTTTTGTGTTAAAGAATCATTTCAAAATTAATATAAAATTTACAGTTTTAAGATAAATTTGGGGTTTGACGCTGCTGTGGAGACTATTGAGATTGTTTTCATTGAAAGTAAATAAGATCTTTCAATGTTTCTATTGAATTATGGAATTATGGAATTTACAGAAGCAGTCTAGTGTTGCTGCATATATTCAGGTTATCATAGCTTTCATGTTATCATAGCTTTCGTGTTAACAAAAAGTCTGCAAGGAAAAGGTATGGTTTTTTCCTTCGTTTTTCAGAAATTATTCTATTCTTAAAGCACAAGTTTTGAGATGTTAAAACGGGAGATCAGATTGTGCTTTACCACATTGTCTGTGTGGCTTTTCGCAAATTATGTAACTTGTAAGTTTGTTTATTTTCCTGTGGAATTAATATTTTTGCATCAAGCCACATACTTAACCAAAACATGAATGAATAGTTAATACTCTGTTTTAAAATGACACTGCTGAAAGTGGGAAGAATTGAGAAAATTAGACGGATTACAAGGGCAGAAGAGCTGTTTGGACTTTATATTTTGGGGCTTTTTTTTTTTTTTGGGTTTTGTCTTATGATCAAAGACGGTTGTGCCAGCCCATGCTTTGAAGGCTGAGAGTTTTGATTTTTAGAGCACATGTATCTCTTCAAATGGTTGAGGTCAGTTTGGAGCCTGTCACCTCTTTACAGTGTGTCTCTCCTCTGTAACCCAATTTGGAAAACCTGTTTGAATTCAAGTATAAACATGAGAACTCTCTCACGACCTGCTTTCAGGAGGAGCTTTTTATTTTACTTTCTGAGGACAGTTATTCAGAGTTCTTTATTCTTTCTTTCATGCACCTATTAGTTTTTCTTGGAAGGATAAAGTACATTTAAAATTGTTATATCTTCAGAATACAATATACCAGCAGCAATACCTGTTCTGTTAGGAAATTCATAGAGGTTAAGAAGAATCAGGAGAACTAAAATGTGAGTCTGAAAAAAGGAAACCAAATAGGAAACCAAAATATACAGTTGAATTAATAGGAAATAACTATTTTAAAATGTATTAGGCAAAATTTATTTTTACTAAAATTGACATTATCTTTTCATGTTTTAGAATCGGGTGCTATTTTCACTTTTGGAAAAAGCAGATTTGCAGAAGATATTCCCAGCAAGTTCTGGTTCAAAAATGACAAGCCTGTGCTTATATCATGTGGAGATGAACATACTGCTATTGTTACAGGTCAGTATTGGGAATGGACTATATGGTAAAAGGTTATATATTTGGACAGCTTGGAAAGTTACAATTCTTACTTGAGTCCTGAGGTAGTACATCAAAGGAGGCTGTGGAGAGCAGAGAGGGCTGCTCTGTGGGAACTACTGGATGCCTTCGAAGTTAGTGTGGGGTCATGGAAGGTTTTCACAAAGCAGGCCCAAGAACTTTTCTGAGGGAATCTCTAACAGCTGAGTGTATCACAAAGGATTTAAAGTAAGCATGACCTTGTTTAGCTTGAATGTTTCATGTGAATTTGACAGTGTTTAGTAGGCAATCATAAATATAGAACTTTGTATCTTGGAGGTGAACAGTATCTGTTGGACACACTGAAAAAGTTCATGAAGAATCTGCCTGGAAAATAGATAAAAGTTTATCTCAGAAATGAAGATTTGAATTACTGTTAACTGTCAACTGAAAATAACCCTTGAAAGAGCGACTTGAAAACCTTGCAAAAATCCTATTAAAATCAGAAATAAATTCAAAAGCATTCAAAGAAGCTTAGACGCAATGCATGTCACTGTAATAGTGGCTGCTTAGGTAAAGCTTTTGAAGAAGTCAGCATGGATAGGTTTGCACGCAGCACTGTTTCTCTGCTATCTGCCCTTCTCCCTGTTATTTCAGTATATACAACATGTTTCAAAAATGTAGCTCACCTTTGCTGTCGTCATGTGCAGGTAGTCACCAGGGAATCTTCTACATAACCAGATCTTTTTCTTCTCAAAAATTTTGAACCGTAGAAGCATGAGTACAAAATTTTGTTGGTGCCAAAAGATATTTTTGGACAGTAGAGGCAAAAGTGAGGGTAAGATACCGATCCATAACAAGCGAAGGTAGAGCAACTGCAAGAGTTGTACAAAAAAGTGAAGAAGGGAAGCAGAAAACCTTTGTCCCTCATTTGTTCTTCACACCTGTGCACACCCATGTGCACCTCACGTTTCTGCTGTTAGATGGAGTTGGATGGTACAATGGAATTGCAGCCCTTGGTGAATTACACTGAACTGCAGTAACACCCAGAATAAAAGCTCCAGAAGTGCGTGCTGATCGTGAGTTTACTGAGAAGGGTACAGACCTTGTGGGAAACCAGGAGCTTCTTGAAATCCAACTGAACCCGACCTGGAAGAGATATAACACGAACTTCACTGAGGAGGGAAAAGTGTCTCAAGCAGGTGTGTGTTAACGCATGCTTTATTTTATTTTCAGTCTTCATTTACAGGTCATGAAATTCCCCTCTCCTTTTTTTTCTACCTGCTGGAAGAGGGAGTGGGTGGGACCTATGTATGTAGATGACAGTGGGGAATATGATGTAGATTCAAATCTATAGAAATAGATCAGTTTTACACTGATATGTATCAACAATCAGCAGTAAAACAATCACCCAAACTCTTAAGTGTTCCTGAAAGCTGGCTTTAAACAGGAGTGACAGCTGCATCTAGCACTGAATCTTGAATCAATGCAAATGAAGAAAATATACAGAAACTAACATTTAGCATTCAAACAAAATATTCAGAAATTTTCAAATACTTCTTTAATCCAAGATCAATATTCCCATATGACTTTTAGGAAGATATGTGTAAAGTAAAGGTACGACACTGTTCTTTGGTTTTCTAGGTCACGGTTTAAGAGTCCAAAATTTTATTTATGTACTGTGGCTGTGTGTTGGAATAGAGAGGAACAGTGGTAGTTACTGACTTTGAGTTGGCTTTCTGGGCTAGTCAGGGTACCACTGCCTTCTCCAGTTTTGGGGTTTGGGATTGAAATTTGTGCTTCTTTATCCACTTACTCTTTAGTATAATTTTCATTACAATGTTCAAGCGGATTTTTGGGTGGGGGCAGTTTTTTTCTTTAGTTCGTTAACACAGTATATCTTCCAGGATCACCTGTAATATGTTTAGTAATTTGCCCAAGTCCTATATTTTTTTCCCCAACAATACTGACAGACTACTCCCTGCATCTTCTGTAACTGCAGGCTTTGGAAAGCAATTTATCCTTTTGAGAGCTGGTGCGAATTAAGTGATGTTATGCATATTTTTAAGAATCTCTTCCCAATACCTTTCTGTTAGTTTTCTTTCCTACACAACTCTTAGAGTTAACATCTTATTGTTTCCTTGTGTTGATTAGAGCATCCTAGGCAGCCTGCCCACATCTATCAAGGAAACCGATCCTGGTCACAGTGGGGAAAATGGTGGTGACAGAAGGGATGTTTTCTGAACTCGGAGCTCTGGAGAGATTTGAAGCCCCTCAGTGCAAGAGGGTAGAAGGAAAGGAAGAACTCTCAGGTGTAAAAGTAGAATTGAAAAGAAATGTGTATGGAAGCACAACAACACAGTATGCTCATAAGTGCGAGTTTTGCCAGGCATTAAGCATTTAACAGTTTATACACCGAAGAGACCTTGGAATCTCTCCAGGTCCTTGGACACCAGATTCCCTCTGTTCTTTCTGCCTACCAGCAAGCCATCAGAAACTAGCACACTATCTTTTGCATTAACTTGCAGGGGGAAAATGAGAAAGATTAGTACATGTTTGGGTTAATCTTTGATGTATGTAGGAGCAAGCAACATACCACACTGGTTTTGTTTGTGAGATGCTAAATGTCCTAAGCGTAACTGTTCTTTTTGCTCAATAAAGCTTTTATTTTGGGAATATTGTGATTTGGCTAACAAAACTGATGTCATTCTCTTTTTTGCAAGATGTATGTGAATTGTATATGAATTTTAAATAAACTCAACATAATTTATTCATAAAATAGTAGAAATTTTTTTAAAAAATCATGGTACCTGGCATATGATACACTGTCCAAAATACTACCTTTTATATTTTCTTCGGATGTAGCTTCTCAATAGAATCTTGCAATAAATGCTCAAAGTCTTTACAATGTTTCTTCTTTTTATTTCCTCCCACACTATTATAATTGAGAAAATTAGGCAGGGGGAATATGTAAAATATACTTTAAAATATAGGTGATAGATATGAAGAATGAAAAGAAGATGAATACTTGGCTGCTTGCTTTATGAAGCATGTTGAGGATTTCAGCTGGTATTTCCCAGCTGCTGAATGAGTGCCTCTAGTAGTGCTTCATGAACCAGGGGAGCATGTGACAGACGGGGTTCCCAGGAATCACATTTGTGATAGCAGATACTCTTCATATGAGAAATGTAATGGTTAGGAGACACTCTCTTCCTGAAGTCTGTCACTAAACCTCTGTTCCTCAAGATGTAAGCATCTTATGGCTTCTCTATTGGCCCTGAATTAATGTTGGTGAAACATCTGCTGGTGATAAGCCAGTGCATGCATTCTTTGGAGAAATACTCCAGTCTTGCATGAGGTTGGAGTTGGAGATTGATGTTGGAAGTACGGTTTCATCACAGAAACAATCTAAGTAGTTCGTTTCTTTATATCTTACTGTTTTTCTTCTGCTGGCTGGACTCATCATCTCACTCTGCTGGAGTTGTCTTCTGCCAGCTATTCCAGGCAGCAGGAAGCCACAATCTCTATGCCAGCACCAAAGTGGAAACAAAAAATGAAGAGCAATCTGAATTTGCAAAGTTTTGAAATATGATCCTTGCCTACTTGTCTGCTGTTGGGTTGATTCTGACTTCAATGCATCTGTGGGAATGACTGGAGATATCTCAGTATGCAGTTATGAAAATAGGGCCTTTTGCATACAAAATTCTGTCATGTTTCCTGGCCAGCTTAGACTGCATGATGTCTGTTACAAAACCTGTTTTGCTGTACAGGCCCAAAATGTTGCTTCATTACAGGCATTCATTTATGCAGTGCCTATTGGTGCCTATTTGTTTTAATTCATTGTCTGAATTACTTGCTTCCCAGTTTTCTTATTTTCTGTTATGCTGCTAAGTATTGGAAACCTGAAATTCCACAAAGCTGTCACTCAGTTGGAAGAGGATGCAAAAAAAGCCCTCTCATCTATTTATCTCTTTGACTTACGAAGCAGTGCCTGAGAATTTAAAAACTGGTATAAGAAACAGCAGATTATAGGATGAAAAGCATGACGTGTTGGAGTTTTGGATGGATAAAAGAGAATGTGATTAAATTGAATTACAGCAGCTTGGCATCATATTCCCACAGGAGTACTACTGTCTTATAAAAGCAGTTAAAAATATAAACTAAGGATACAAGGATCCATATACCAATATAGGATGCCATTTGCTAATACAGATTCTTTCTGTTAAGGTGTGTTTTGCTCTCAGTGACAGCCCTGCATGTGTTCTGACATGATCACATTATCAAAATTGGGATGGTGTTTTAAACACCATTAGTGAAACGCCACAAGCGTAGACTTGACCTCAGACTTTCTCCCCTTCCAGCTTTCTTAGGAAGAAATAATATTGGCACATAGAGCCATGTTCCAAAAATGGTCAAATCTAAATTTAATAGGGACTTTAGGTACTAGTTATTGTTCGTTGTTGGTTTGAGTTTTTTTTTTTTTCAGATATATGGTTATGTTTAAGAAAATAAATGGATTTTTTTTTTTTAACAGAGTAAGTATTTTTGTTATATTTTAAGCATTCCAACATCACGTTTGAAAGTCTGTAAATCACAGTCAGAACCTGCACTGGCAACCCATGCTACTGAAATATAAACAATGATAATATTTTGGCATTATTATGTGAAATTGCTGTTATCCCTTGGAAATGTGATAATTGTTGATGGCTAGGGTTGCAAAGCTTATTTATGTGACAGTCTTGTGATGGGAGTCTAACTCAGAAGGCTCTACAGACCTTCTCAGAAATAAAAAAAATCCTTTTAACAGTTGTAAAAGGTATTTTTTTGACGAATAAGCTTCTTTTATTTTGCAAAGATTTCTGTTGGAACACGGGTTTTATCTTGGGGTGTGAACTTCACCCAAACGTCACAGCTTTACAAAAGGTAATAGTTTAAAAAATTAGATTAAATTAAATGAAGTCATGTTAGGGTATACTCAGTAGTCAGTTTTGGCTGTCTAATTTGCATGCCTGATGACATAAGTTTCATCTCTTCATGCACCATCCTCTTAAAAAAACACTCTTTATTCAAATTTACAACAATTTATTGTTCATATTGGTCAAACCATCAAGTTCACTGCCAGATCACACCAGGTTCTGAAATGCAATTCTGGCATTGCACCTGTTGAAGGTTTGTAACCTATTGTTTGCATTTAGGTTTACAGAAGTTCCTTGACTGCATGGTGTTTTTATGCGTTCCTACTTTATATGCAGAGTAACAAATCAATACAATTTATAGGGATTTGGGAATTTATCAGAAACTATGTTCTGCAGAAATGCAAATTTGTAAACTATCTTAAGAGAAGACTTTTAGCTGTAAAAGAAATACCAGCCTAAACAATAAAATAAGCTGAATATTACAAATGTGTGGGTTTACTATTTATATAGCTGCATTATTCATTCCTGGTTTGGGGGTAAAAGATGTAGATGCTCAGTTAAACGTGCTGTTATTTTATAAGTAGACCAATAGTTACTGTGGTTTCTGAACTGCAGGGTCTGTCCAGGAGTACAACATTTTATTTTCTGAAGAGCACTTTATCTGTGCTGTAATCAAATGAGAGAATGTTTGTTCAGCTTTTGTCCTTTCTTCTGGCTAGGAGTTTCTTACTTAAACAAAATAGTTACTATTTTGGTATTGAAAAATCACAAGGACATTAATTATTGTTTACACTTAAGTATTGAACTGGCCAGTTTTAAACCTTACATGAAAAGGGAAGTAATAAAAAGCATAGTGTGTAAATTACCATCTTGTCTTTGAATGAGGTATTCAGACACTTGTATGGATTTCTGACTGTGCATTTTTTTTCAGGGAATGGTAAACTGTACATGTTCGGCAGTAACAACTGGGGTCAGTTAGGACTGGGATCAAAGAACACTGTCAGCAAACCAACATGTGTTAAAGGTTTGTTTAATTTTTCTTTCTTTGTCTTTTTGAAAGGTGACCCTTGTGAAAAGGCACTTCATAAAATACAGTTCCAAAATAACTGATTCTGTCTTCTTTACACATCACGTGTAGCATATTACTGCATACTATCATAAAGGTAGTTTAAAAGGATCCCTGATTGACTTTCCACGAGTTCCAGATTTTGGGTCCGTCTGTGTCTGAAGATGACTTCAGATACATAGAATCCTGTCTTTTTTGAAGGCTTTCACTTTATGTAATATTTACCTTTTCTGACAAACTACATCTTCATTCTGACGGCAGAGACATCGATCAGATGCTTGGTCTCTGCAATCTTGTCTATGTGTTAGGGATGAGAGTTCCAACAGCATTGTCTAACCATTGTATCACCTTTGTCTTAATACCTTTATAAATGAAAAAATCTATCAGGAACCTTCTACAAGTAATGCTACGTTTTTAGCAAGTATAAGAAGTGCCGGAGGGGGCATAAATGTGCGTGTATTTGTATGAAGCAGTAAAATAAGTGCCCATATTCTTTCATGTGTTGTAAAATATGTTTTCATTGCACTTTTATCTTCTTGATCTTTCCTAGCTGGTTTTATCTTGTCAAACAAAGTTAAGTCCCTGCTTTTCCTTTCTCTTCTTATGTCATCAGATCTATCCCATTAACACATTGTGCTTTCATCATTAAATGTTTATCCTCGTCCTTTCTGCCAGAAGATTGATCTGTTAGCTTATTATTAAAAACAAATTTTCCTGCTTGTTCAAAATCTTTTCTTCCTGATGTAGTTTACTCTACTGTCCTTTATCTGCCCCTCTCTCTATTTCACCTCAGAGGGAGACTGCAGCTATTCTCAGGCTCATGTGTGCTGTCAGTCATGTGAGAGATTGGTTCTTACCTTGGCTTAAATGGATTTGGTGTCAAGTTTTGGTTTCACTGTCAAATTGCAATGGAGAATAAAAGATGAAAAGAAGATGACAGCAATTCAAACCACACCTGGCATCCACTGAAAACAGTCACACGGAGAGCACCATCTCTTGGCAGTAGGCAGCGGCAGAAAGTCCTGGAGCGTTTCTCTGTATTTCCAGTCATCACTTGCCTTTGGGAATGGGGTTACAGGGACACAGCATCTCCGTTTCTGCTTGGAGCCAGGTGGTTGTGGCTGCATGTTTCCTGAGAAAATACCTTTTGGGACTTGGTTATGAAAACTTGCCAGCAATATTGTAAATGTAGCATGGCTCATCAGATACAGTTCATTAGCCTAAGTGGGAAGAATGTTAGGAAGGACGGGCTTCTGAAGAGTTGATCAAGATCATCTCTGAAGCTGGAGGCAGAGTTTTGGGATATAAAGCAGCAAATAAAGATTGCAGGAAGAAGCCAGCATTGGAAATGTTTTGGTTCCAGCCTGGTGGTAGTGATAGGTGTTGGATAGGATAGGCAGAAACCTGAATTTGGACAATTCAGGTTTGTGTCTGTATGGTAGACAGGAGACAGTTCACGTTTAAGTAGGTAGATTTAATCTGTTTGGTGATTTGATAGAAAGGACTTTCATCTGAATTTTATGGAGCTGATGAAAGTTGGTTTGGAAGGACTGAAAAAAAGGATTTCTGAAAGGGATGATGGTTGTTGGCTTTGTCATGGATTAGTGCAGTGGAAAAGCAATTAAAGATATGTAAAAATAATGCTGTTTCAAGAGCATTTTATAGAGCACATGGACACAGCTGAGAGCAGATAAATTGTTGACAATGGTCAGTAACTGGAGAGAGGATGGGAAAGTTGGTGAGATATTTTTTCCTCTGTTGCTGAAATGGAGAGTGCTATGGGAGAAAAGGTGCCTCTGTATTCTCTCTTTCCTGCCAAAATAAATGCTGACTCCTCTTGCATACATTCCCAGTATGTCACAGTGACCAGACTGCAGGGCAGTGCATGCAACGAGTGGGTGGTAACTGAGCTGAAATTGGGTTAGGGTGGAATGTGCAAAATTTTTAGGTACTGATCCAGCTAGGACTGTCCTTCCAATTGAGTTCAGTGATCAGTAAGAGGGCAGTGTGGAGCAAGTCTAGCAAAAAAGGTAGCTGCACATAACAAAAGAAGATAGGAATGGTAAGACAAAAGAGTGGTATGGTTTTAAAGATTTAAGGCGATGCAACAAGCATAAGAGGCAGTTAAGAATAGTACTGTTAATGAAAACTGAAGACAGTTTTAAGCATGTGTTTCGTTGTGCAACTTGATATATTCTTTGAGGTATATACCATAAGTGGTAGATTCTGGGGAACGTGGCACTGGGGTGAAGTAGCCATCATCAAGTTAACCTGAGTGTCAGCTGTAAGTTTTTAAGGTCTCTGTCTGTTTTCTTGTCTTTGGGGAATCCCAATTTAGTCAGTCATGAGCGCAAATGTGCAATGAATCTTGTAACCATTCTGTTGGTAAAAACATTAAAAAAATCAGCTCCCTCTAGAGCATAGAACATTTTGTTGTTGAACCAGCTATCAGCTTGTTTATAACTTTCCCTCCCCCTTTGGCTTTAATTCATAGCTTTAAAACCAGAAAAAACAAAACTTGCTGTTTGTGGAAGAAACCACACTTTAGTTTACACAGGTATGTAACCTATATTATATACATATTAAAGATAGATTTCTTCCTTTGCTTTCTTACAAAATTACATAGGAACCCTAGGAGTGTTGAGGAAGGAAAAATAAATGAAAATAGGACTGTGGAAACTTGGGGGTTTGATATCCAGTTCTTTGCTTGATTTATGCAGAGCCATTACATTTATAAAATAATGTCATATGAGAGTTTGCTAGCAAGAGACATGAAAAAAATTCTAGCTGACATATGAGGTATGGTTAATTATCAATATTTCATTTAAGCCCTGTAAAGGTATATTAGTATTTTTACCTGAATATCTTTACTCAGATTTACCTTTGACAAGTAATTTATCTTTATTAGTGCAGAGTTATTTATTTGAATAAATATAGTAGAACTGAATCTTTTCAAGTCTTCAAATTTTGTTGCATTTTGTTTAAAGATCGTCTGCTATTTCAATGACAAGTTGCTTTATTAAGCCATAAATAAATAAATTGTAAATTTCAAATAAAAAATACATTTTTAGAGAGACAGTATACAGAGAATTGATGCAAATTCATGTCGTGCTTCTAAAATTTATGTAATGGAATGGCCATATTTGCAATTGCAATTGTTTAGCTTGCAGTAATGTTATAAAGAGGATTGTTTGGTTATTGGGAGGTTTATATATGTGGAGACCCTGAGCACTGTAAATATGACTATTAGAATAAAATAGAACATTTTAGTAACTGTTCAGTATGCAAGACAGCACAGGGTAAATATTAGTCACTTTTAGTGTACATGCTGGCTAGATAATTTGAGGCCATTTGCATAGTAAAGACCATTTATAAATTGTATGTCAGTTGCTTATCACATTTGTGTCTGGATTTGTGTTATTAATGAGTCTTATCTTTTTCATCATAGATGAGCACTTTAGATGTGAAACATAGTAAAATTAAAAATACAAATCTTAAAAGTTTGCTTAAGTTGAAGATACCAATCATCAGCTTTAACTTCAGTTTTAAGTCTGAAACAAAATAAAGACCTAGTTAATTAAATTGAAAGTGATTTGTATATTAGAATGGATAAAATATTTCTAATAAAGACATAAGCAAAATTATTATTTCATTCAGAGTACTCAAAACTGTCAAGTTATGCATCTCTTTACATACTAATATGGCTTCAGTTTTGTTGCCTGTGACATCATTCACCATCTTCCTCCTGCTTTATCTTAAAATGTACAGTATTTGAGCCAGCTTCTTGTGGCTGGCAGGGCCACTAGTAATAATTTTCTCTGAACTCTTGCAGAACTTCAAACTGTATTTATTTTTTAGATCAGTTTCCAGAATGGTGGGAAATGAAGTCAGTCTAAGTACATGTAAGGCATTTATAAAGTTATGATCCAGGCATGTGCAGCAAAGCCTCCTTGATAGCTATGATCAAAACTGCTAATGTCTATTTGAGGATTTCTGTAACATTTTTCCATTGAAAATCAAATTACTTGCTCCAGCTTGTCTGACTTTTTGCTACTGATGAGAACATCTTCATGCAGTGTATTACATGTGCTTTTCTGTATGCAGAAAAAGGAAATGTTTATGCTGCTGGAGGTAACAATGAAGGTCAGTTGGGATTAGGAGACACAGAGGAAAGGACTACATTTCATTTAATTAGTTTTTTTACCAACCAGCACAAGATCAAACAGCTAGCAGCTGGATCATACACCTCAGCAGCAGTGACTGGTAAGAGCAACTGCTAATAAAATCTATTTATGTGTGTCCAGCTTGGTGTTCCAGGAGAGTGTTTATTGCAGCATTCTGTCTGCATGTGTGGCTGTATTTTCTATGCTTCTCTGTCTTCTTTTCCTAGTAACAGTAGACATTTTTGGTAGCAGATTGCTGATTTCAACACATTCTGATAAGCAGTGTCAGTCTCATTAACTTCCTATAATTTTTGTGAAAGTAGAGTGACGGCCTGCCATGGGAGCTCAACCTGTACTGGTTTTGTAGGAATCCTTCCAAAAGAGAGACAGTGTGAATGCCCTCAAAATGGGAAAAATCTTCAGTTAATTTTCAGGGAAGTCAGCTACAAAACATGAATCTTATAAAAACTAAGTTTCTCTAATACCACTTCTTACTGCAGCTATTTTGGTCTACTGGTGCAGGCTACAGAGGTGTGTCATTACTAATTCTGCGAGACGGCTAATTTAGGACCTCTCCAATGGCAAAATTACACAATTGCAAGATGTTGAAGTCTGCACAGGTACAATACTTTCAGCCATTGGACGGATCCTCCTTTATTGCCCTATATTGTCATTTCTCAAGTTTTGCCATAAAGCAGCTGTTTCTGTACGTGTGTAGG